TGTCTTTTTCCTTGGTAAAAGGTATTACCATAGCAACCTTCCACCTGTAATATGTTCAGAGGAAGTGAACTCCAAAATTGATGGGAGGGTTTTAAAGTTATCTGATGGACACAAATGACCCACTGTATGGAGTGGTGTTTGCAAGTGTCTGTTTCCATCGAAGATACCATTTAAACTAAGAGACCATTCCTAGGCAGGGGCGGATCCAGAGATATTTTCTGACAGTCTTCCAAATTATCTTTATTGATCCATCCTCCATTTTTGACCGTCTGCCGACAGAAAAAATTAGATACCCATCTGATCAATGTAAACTTGAAAATCTGACCGTCTTCCAGAAGACCTAGAAGACGGCCTAAATCTGCCCCTGCTAGGCTCTATCATACTAACTTTGGATTGATCTATCTTCAAGGGTATTCTCGCTAAATTGCAATCAACATAAGCGGCTTAGATATCTGGCACATGTGCTGAAGCTGTTAGGGGGTATTTTAACTATCGTTTAGCAGCTTTAGTAGGCGTGCCAGACATCTAAGCCACTTAAACTGAAAGCAATTTAGCAAAAAACTCCTTGGAGATAGACTGATCCTCTTAGATCGATCTAGGTATGGGAACCCAGTCTAAAAGATATACAGTATAATTTAAGTCAAAACAGGATGTTTAAAGAACTGATTTGATTGTTCAGAATAGTACTCTAAACTGTCATATTTAAAAAGACTATAACAAAAATGTATATATATTGAACAAAGTAAGCCTAGTTTTTTCCTTCTAGTTTATCTTTACATTTATCAAGTTTTTATGTTAGAAGTGTAAAGTGATTTTTCATTTTTAACTCACCAGTGAGGGGCATTAATAGATAATTTGAAAGTGACATGTTAAATTGCCCTATAGCTTTGTCTGTGGAAAGGAGCAGAAATGAAGCAATGTTCTGATAAGTGTGACTAGTTCACAGCTAAGAGTGCATTCCCAGAGATTTAGATCGATCCAGAGATTTAGATTTAGATCGACCTAACTCCCTGGGGGTTCACGGAAAATTGCAGTCGTCCGAGCGCGCACCATAGTTAATTACACCTTCACAGCTTTTAGTTGGCGGGACAGACATTTAAGCCTGTTAAGCTGACACCAATCTAGTGAGACTCCCCAGGGGGATAGATCGATCGAAATATCTATGGGAATGGGGTCTAAGATGTCCCCGAAGCAGTGGGAAGTCTGCAGTGTGTGTGTGTGTGTGTGTGTGTGTGTGTGTGTGTGTGTGTGTGTGTGTTGGGGGGGGGGGGGGGATAACCTAGACGGATCCCATTCTACCAAATTGAGTAGCTGATCTGGTAGTATGCTTTAGACTTGAACTATGGGTCTGATGCATGGACCTTTCTTTTTCCATATATTATTCCTGATATAAACATTGGCTTGTTTTCTCCACCTTTTCAGATGGAGAGTATATTTAATTTATTAGATGACAAAGTAAGGCCAATTATTAGCCAGCAATGGCTTGGATAAATGACTTGAATGCATGTTAAAGCTGGATGTATATAACTGGAATGAAAGAAAACTAATGCAAAAAGACAGCTGAAGTGCCCAGGAGATTAATTAGGAAATGCCCCAATAGACATTTCTACCTCCAAGTCTTGGGAAGTCCTGTCAGAATTGATATAGCATTGGATTAAGCATATGATTAATTCATGCATAGCTTCTTCATGTTCTTCTGAGCACTTTGATGGAAATTGGGTAGGTACCGTAGGAAAACTGTCAGATAGACACAGAAAGATATGAGAAGAAATATAGTTTTAGATAATCGTTAAAAAATATCATAATTACATTTTGCCTTGATGTGCATTTTGGAACGTCTTTCAACTAGTATATTACTAGTGCACTGCTGACAAGTTCAAAGCACTGAGCTTAGATTGTCAAAAATAATTATAATCAAGTCATTTAAATAATTGATAATTTGATTTTGACTTGCCAATTTGATGGCTTAATTTTAATGTTAAGTATTTGGTGTAATTTTATTTTGACTTTCCATGCTAAAAAGATTGGATTACAAAAATTGCATTGTATATAATATATTATCTATGATACAGTCCATTAGTCACTATATATTGATCAATATTATTCTACAAAATATTATGGCTCAATTCCACTAATGCCTCCATTATATTAAAGCAGAACTGTCATATTAACTAGGCAGAAGCTGCAGAACATTGAAAAGTTCTCCTCTCTATGGGTGCCATGTTATAATCAAATAACATACGCTGTGCATTATCATTGATTTCCAGAACTGCTTTAGACCAGCTGTATTGTCACATATCTGGTAACTCTTTAATCTTCTCCTGTCTCTTGGACATCATCTTCAAGATTTTTTTTTTTTTTTTTGCATTTTATTATTTATTTTTACATGTTTGCATCTGTATTCAAGAGTCTAGACCAGAAGATTTAATCCACCATCCTTGTCCTCACTTTATCAAGGTGCAGGATGGGTACAGGGAAAGTGTGGAGGAAAAATCTGTAATAGACTGCTATCCCATGCAAAAACCTGCTCTACACTGGTGCCCCGTACAAAAACCAGCAATAAACTACAACTGGTACCCCATGCAAAAATGTACTGGAGTCCTATGCAGAAACCTGCAATATGTGGTTTCCCATGCAGAAACTAGCAAAAACATTATCCATGAAAAAGAAAAAAAATGCAAACATACTCAGCCTTATTTACAAAGCTGGCAGTAAACTCCAAATAATATGAACTTTAGTAGCTGACTGAATTTTTATCACTATATATGCTTTGTCTGTTCATCTGCCTGGCAAAACTGTAATACCTGAGCAAAAGATGTCCTTATCATTTGTGGCACTGCTGTTGACAACGTCCTATTGTTTATAACTATATGATGTTTGTCACATGATGACAACATGTGGTAACTAGGTGGTATTGACCCTTGACATTTTTGATAAGAGCTAATCAGATATTTTCACAGTTTATTATGCATTGGCTCCAAGTTTTAACTTTTAGTCCAAAATATATATAAGCCTTTTCCTTAAGACATTCTGACTGTGTCAAATATTATATATTATGTGATGACAGACATTGTATGGTGATATGGATCTTAGTATATGTCTGGA